TGAAGAAGGAGGAAGAAGGAGCCAAGAATCAGCATCAGGCAGGTCTCTGGGAGGGCTGGGGGGTGAAAATCACCCCCCAACTTTGGGGGGTTCATTCAGCAATGCCCCCAGAAACATAAAAACTCTTAGTGGTGTCCAGCTCAAGACGGGGCTGAAGAGAAACGCAGCTTTTGGGAGGGAGGGGACTGCTGTCACCCACCACAGAGGAAAGAGGGAAACTGAGACATGGGCTGTTGCAGCAGCTCAGTGCCAGGAGGGTGCAACAGCTGAAACCTCGTTTCTTCCCCCATCCCGGGCTTTGTTCACGGGGTGCTGACCCTCCCTTCCACCTCTGGCTCTGCCCTGCAGAGACCCCTCCAGGCCAGCCTCCAGCCCTGCTCTGCATCGCCCTGGCAGCAAACAGAGGAGGGTGAAGACCCGCACAACTTCTCCCCCACCCTCATCTTTGCCAGGCCCTCCCCCCTGCATGTTTTCCAGCTGAACATCTATGACAACCTCCCAGTGAAACTGGATTTGTTGGGAGAACAAATGCTGCAGAGGGAAGGCAGCAAGCCTGGGAATCTTCCCTGACCCCATCCCCCAGCCTGGGGGGGGGGGGGTGCCAGTAGCATCTTTGAATAAGCCCCTGTGGTACCAGCACTGCTGCAGCTGTTGGGGAGCCCTGTGACTTTTCCCCTTGAGCAGCAAACTGCACAATGAGGAGCCCCTTTGTCAGTCTCTCTTTGCAACAGCGGCTGCGTAAGACCACGAGATGGCTATAACCAAAATGAACAAAAAGCCCCAGTGCTGGCGTTGGGCTGACGGGCATGGAAGGAGATCAGAAGGCAGAAGGAGAAAGGTGTTGGACTGCCGAGCTGGGACCCTGCCGCACGTGGGGACCCCTTCGCTGCCTTGGCTGTCACCTTCAGGTGGTCTCTGGGGACATCCAGCTTATGGCTGGGACACTGACAACATCTCAGGCATCACCCATCACCTGCAAGTTGCCCTGCTCCCCCCTCTGCCAAGGCAGGGCAGCAGTGCTGGTGCAGGGAGGGTGACACAGAAGGTGACAAAGTCCTGGACAGGGACAGGGATGTGGTGTGGCATCATTTTCCTCCTGGTGGTAAGCCCCAGCTTTGGGGATTTACAATCTGTTGAGCTGCACAGGATGTTAAGGAAGATGCTGCTGGGGATAAAAGGGAAGTGCGGGGCACATTAAGCAGGGCTATCCCAGCGCCCTGCTGATCCCTGCGTCCCTCCCTGCACCGAGCCTGCCTTCTTAGGCTGGAGGTGTAAAGCAGAGACAGGGAAATGACAGTGCTTGAAAATCCTCTCGTGTCTCGCTCTGATGGCTGCAGACTGCCCATTCATCTCCAGCCCCATGGACTCACCTCCTTCAGGGTCCCTTGAAACAACCCAACAGCTCTGGCCTTGAGGCTGCGCCACACCAACTGCAAGAAGCCATGAAAGGGCTGCCCAGGGCACCTGCCTCACCCCAAAACCACTCTTCAGGAGAGCCATGTGCCTCTTGAACACCCCCCCAGCCCCATGAGTCTCCTAAATAACCCCCCAGAGACACACTGAGCAGCAGGGACATGCCCTATTCGCCAGCCTCCCATGTGCATGGTGGAGCACCTCCAACCCAAAGCCCCCCAGCAGAACACAGGGAAGAAGAGGTGACATGTCACGCCTCTGTGCCATCAGTCTGTGGCAGCAAGGAGGAGGGGAACAGACACAGCTGGAGCTGCAAACCCTCCCTTGGCCAGCAGCTGCTGCACCCCACCTCCTTACCACCAGCTCTCACACCACGAGCTGGCAGAAGACCTATGGGGGGTATTAAAGAGGTGGTCTATAGCCCACCCTCATTGCTCCTATAATGAAGACTAGCAGCCAGAGCTGCTCAGAGACCGGTTCCCCATGTGGGGAGTGGAGCTTTTGTGGCAGCCCACAGCCTCACCGGTGGGTTTCGTGCCTGTGCTTGTGCTGAAGACCCTCTGCCCCCCTAAAGCTCCCAGTGGCCAAGAGGGCTGAGAGAGGCCGGGCTCTGCCCCAGCCCTCATTAAAATGCCTGCGGTGGCTGAGAGCGG